TTTTTTTTTTTTTTTGTAATCTAAACTCCTTTATGTTGTTCATGTAATGCAATATAAGAATTTTCTCCCTCCATTTCTCTTTTGACAAATAAGCATGCATATGTCAGAAACTTTAAAGTCATCACATAAGCTTTTTTCTCAACCAGAATCAAATGTTAAGCTACTAAGAATCATCCAACAATTTTCCATTGATTCCTTGGTTGATAAAGGTTGGAGAGAGATACTATATGCTAGACAACTTCAGTAGCTTATAAGCAATGCACAAGTCCCAAACAGAAGGGGTCGGGGGCAGAAGCTCTTTTTAGTGAAACCAATTGAGTCCTACAGGCTATCAACAAACATTATATCTAGACTTTCATTTCCCTTTTGTTGGTACCCAATAGAAAACTGATGGTTTGTGTATTACAGTAAGAAAGCTGCAGAGAAAAGAAAAGAAAAAGTAAAAAAGAGGGGTGAGTCCACTAACTAAGTGAGTAGTTACCCAATCAAAAGCCCGACTGGGGATATGCTACTTCAAAAATACACATAATTAAGTACAATAGCTATTACATGTACATTTATAATACTCTCAATGTTGCTCACGCCCCCAGGTCTTGGTCTAGTGAAAAGAGTGCAGCAAGTGTGTGGTGGGTTATGCACACGTCACGGGGTCGAACCATACTGCAAATAAAAGCCTGGTATTTAAGTGGAGAACAATAGAGGGGATGACCCATTATCTATCGAGTTTTGAACAATGCACCACGAGCCCTCGAGGATTTCTAGGTTATGCACAAAGGAAGAAAAAAAAAGCTCTCACCGCTCACTGGTAGCACAGAACTATGGCTCGTTATGTGTCTTTTAACCAAGTAACTACTTCCCTAACCCCAAGAGGTTGCAGACCTTGGTACGCTGCCAACCCTATTAGGTTGTGGATACAAACAAGCTCCACCAGACGAGTGAGCAATACAATTCAAATACATACTCTCATCATATCACAAGTACAGGCTCAAGCCTTAGCTAGATACGGATCTGACACTTACCCATACGTATTGAAAAGTATCAGATTCTGTATCTGGCGAAGGCATGAGCTTGTACTTGTCGTACAAAATAAGAGTACGTATCTAAACTAAAACACAAACAGATTGACTTGCTCATCCGTATGATGGAGCTTATTTGTATTCAGCCAGTTTGGACATTCGGGTTGGTAGCATACTAGGGTCCCTATCTGCTCAGGGATTAGAGGCGTTGTTACTTGGTTAAAAGACCATAATGAATCATAGTTCTATTTTACGAGTGAACACTAATGAGAGTATCACTAATGTACTTGTAATAGCTATTGTACATAGTTATGTGCTTTACTTGTATTTTTGAAATAGCATATCCCTGATCCAATGATTAGGTAACGACTCATTAAGCCGGTGAACTCACCCCCCTCTTTTAGTTTTTCTTTTCATTTGTTTAGACAAAGACATAGGCGAGGCAATTGAGAATTATAGGCACACTTAGAAGATGTCCTTCTGTGAGCTCATGTTGCTTCGTGGAGACTCTTTGATTATTTTGTTTATTAGCATTATGTAAAGATTGATTCTAGAGTTATGCCCCATGTACTCTAAAGTTTAATGGTTTTGACCCTTTGAGGCAGAATAACATTGGTAACGTTACTTGATATTTTGGTGTTGACACTAATTATGATTGTTGTGCTTTTTAGAAGGATATTTCTGATTGTTATGTTGGAAAATCATATCCTTAGCTGATATACCAGATAGCCCTAGAAATAGGGGAGACTCTATTCGTTTTAGGTGTTGAATGAATAGCCTAGAAGACTTGCTTAGGGTTTACTCCCTAGTTGTCGGGTCGTAACAAATATATTGAGGATTTAACAAGTCCAAATTCCCAAAAGTCCTAATAAAATGATTCTTTCAATTTCAGTTCGTATTGTCGAATTGAACTTGTTGGGATAATGCAGAAGTCAAAACAGAAAAAATAACAAACTTACTCAAGTTCTTGCCGGAGTGCATCAAATAGCTCTCTTTTGGTCTGCTTTTCAGCACCAGGGGTGTTAAGAACCCTGCTTTGTTCAACCATTTTTATGGTGGTATTTTTGAGTTCTTCCTATAATATCACAGAATATATATCAATGTAATGACAACATAGAAATAAGGGGCTGATGCATGTTTACGCGCAATACATACATTAGCTTTGAGGTGAGTAATGATTTTCAACCTCATGGAATCGATTGTGCCGTCGTTCATCAAAGTCCCCATTACATCTTCTGGAGTTATCACTGACGATGACGACGGTGATGATTCCATCCTTAATCTCCTGTTCAATTTATCTAGAATCAGCTAACTACATATAATACCACTAACAAATTAGAAAAAATTGATATGTTACGAACAAATAGCAAGTGACTGAGATAGATCGATGAACAGAGAGATCGGAGAAGAAGTGGTCTGAGTGGTTGTTTTTTACTTTGTTTTTCGTCACCTCGCTGTTGAGCCCTACAACTCCTTCTCCGGTCAACTGCTCTTCCTCTTACTTTCTGGCTTTTATCAAACCGTTTGGACATAGATGATATTTGTAAATATTTAAATTTAATTGTAAATATATTATTTTGAAGGAATATTCTACTTCAATTTGGAATAGTGTATGTATAATTTTAACCACAAGTCGTTGAAACACCAATTTAAGCAACAAATTAGAAAGATGTTTTAGTTTTTCGTGTAAAGTTTGAAAAGTTTTGATATTTATTACTATCAAATTTTGGTGTATAAATTCATTTTTCTTGTTTTTAAAGAATTACATCGAATCATCAATCATTCAAATATTATTGTGCAAATATGTTTGTCCAAATTTATAGCCTATTTGGCCCAGCAGAAGAATAAGTGTTTTTTACAAAAGTACTTTTGAATTATTTTTGAATAAAAATATTTTTAGAGAGAACCAGTTTGTGTTTGGCTAATCACTCTCAAAAATATTTTTGAGTAATAATTTGTGTTTAGCAAGCTTTTCAAAAATTGCATTTAAGTATCAAATTACGAATAAGGATATTAATATATTTACTTAATAGTTGATATTATAAGTAAATAAATAATCTAAAAATTTTGTTATTAAAGAGAATAATTAATTTTTTTCATTTTATTTAAGTAAAATATGAAAATAAAATTAAAAAGTACTTTTATTCTTTTATTATGATTTAAATATATTAAAAATCATTCAACAAAAATTAAGAGCATTCACCCCGAAAGCCATTATATATTAGAAAGTTATCCTAAAAATAAGAAGAAATACTTATACATTAATATACTAAGTATTAGGTTTAAAATAAGTGAGGTTATTTTGGTATGTATTATATTTTGTTAAGGGTATTATTGATAAGAAAAAAAGTCAAAACTATTTCTGTTTCTGCTTTTGGGAAGAATCTACTTTTCTTTGCTTCACAGAAACTGTTTCTGCTTCTTCCCAAAAGTATTTTTTTTCCCCAAAAAAAGCTTGGCCAAACACCTTAAGTTGATAAAAAAAAAGTACTTTTTGGGGAAAAAACGCTTTTACCTTTGGAGAAGCTTGGCCAAAAAATATATTATTCTTCAACTTAAATAAAACTTTAGTGGAATTGTGATTACAAAAATAACTATTTGCAAGTTATATCCAAGCATCGATTTTCCCGTAAAAGGTTCGAGATTTCCCTTAAAAGGAGATCTTTTACACGAATAATAGATTAGATTCACTATTTTTTTAGCCGGTATACATATTATATATATATTCACAGGCTATTTTTAATTTAAGCGATTAAGTGAACATCTATTTAGGTTAATTCTTCTAAGAAAAATTGGTTAGGTGACTTTTCCCAACTGAAAGTTAATGTTAGATGAGAAAAAGAAGATTAAATTTAGGGAAATTATTTAACTCTACACACACACACACACACACACACACACACACACACACATATATATATATAATATGCAGCGCGTAACATCGCTAGCTAGGCAAGTCAACACAATAAATAATATGCAAAGAAAAGCATTAAATAACCAACAACTGAACAAATAACATAACTTGAAGCAACTTTGTGATAACATAATAAGTTCTAAAATCAATAACTAACGTAAAACCACCCAATGGTTTGGTGTCACAAGTACATGAGCTTCTAGATCCAACTAAATACAAGGTTCTGAAAGAAATGTAACACTGCCCGAATAAAGTGGAAATAATACAATAGAGGTAAGATAATGACTCAAGACCTGCGGACGGGATGCAGCTCTACCTCAAATCACCAAAGCAATATTTGTTGAGCACCTCTCGGGGCTACGTTGTTACTGATATCAGGATCTGCACAAGAAGTGCAGAAGTGTATTATGAGTACAACCGACCCTATATACTCCGTAAGTGTCGAGTCTAATCATGACAAGGCTAAGACAAGACACTTACAATAAACCTATACAGTTTTATATATATATATATATATATATATATATATATATATATATATATATATATATATATGGAAACANTAAATAAAGAATCATGTAGTAAACCTCTTTCCAAAACGAGCAAAAAAACTACCAAGTCAAAATTTACATTTCCAAATATCAAGTAAAACAATGAAATCAATAAATTTGCACGGCATCATCCTTCGTACTTTTACTCTTATCCTCATACTTTTACTCTCATACTTACATGATCATAATAAAAAATTATGTGCATGACATCACCCTTTATGATTTTACCTCTCATGATAAATAAGCATATACACGGCATCACCCTTCGTGATTTTATCCTCACATTCACTCAATCAATAATATTAATATGCAAATAAGGTACGGCAACAATTTTCGTACTTTTTACTCTTCCTCACCAAGCAACAACAACCCAAAGTATCAAGTAAGGTAGGAAGCAAATTTTAACCTCAACAATAGTGTTAGAATAAGCAAACTCAACTTTCAATATCTCAACAATTTCAACATAAGCAATAAACATGAAAGCGAATAGTCAAAGCATAAAAGATCTATCTATGGGATGGAAGGCATAGTAAATGAAATAACATAGTACAAATGAGGCAAAATTCACCCGTACGCTTTAGCCCGTGACAATGCATATACACTCTTCACCTTGCATATACGATGTTCCCACACATAATTCACGTAGCAAATAAGTCAAACAAGTCCTAATTCCCTCAAGTCAAAGTTAACCACGATATTTACCTCTTGTCGGAGTCAAAATAAATAATCAACCACAACTTTTCTTTTAAACAAGCCTCCAAACCAATCAAATCTAGCCAAATATAGTTCAAACAATTCGAAACAAGCGTTAGAAACTACCCACGAGTGAAAAAGGTTCAATCTTTAATGAAATTAAAAAAGGTCAACAAAAGTCAACCCCAGGCTCGCTTGGTCAAAATCTGATATAAAGACCAAATCCCGATTACCCATTTACCTCCGAGACTGAATACGTGATTTGTTTTGAAACCCTATCTCAATTCGAGGTCTAAATCTCAATTTTACTAAATTTCTAAATTATACCCAAAACCCCTAATTTCTACCTTTAAACTACTAAATTTAAGGATAAAAATTAATGGGTGTTTATGAAAATACATCAAAACTAGTTGAAAAGAACTAACCAATGAAGTTGGGATGAAAATATCTTCAAATATCTCTCCAGTCCATCTTCTAGGTTTCAAAAATGGTGAAAGATAATAAAATCCCGTTTTTAGTTTTTATTTAACTGGGCGTCAGGTGCTCTTCGCGTTCGCAGAGCACCTATCAGATTCGCCGTGATGACCCAAAGTGTCATCTTTAAATTTAATAAGTAATTATATTCTAATACCTCAAAAAGTACTATTTATCATTCCTCGACTTGCATGCGCAGTCCGTATAATTTTTCGAAAAGTTTTTGTGTGAAAAATGGATTAAAATGTGAAATAGAGCTTTAAACCTCAAGGTGAGTTGACTTTGGTTAATATTTTGAACAAACGGACCCAGATCAGTATTTTGATAATTCCGGTAGGTCCGTATCGTGATTTGGGACTTGGGCGTATGCCTGGAATCAAATTCCAAGGTCCCTAGCCCGAGATATAGAATTTTGATGAAAAATTAAAAGTTTGAAAGCTTAATAATTTTAAAAATTTACTGATATTGGATTTATTGATACCGGATTCGTATTTTAGTTTTGGAGCCCGGTATAGATTCACTATAATATTTATGACTTGTCTGCCAAATTTGGTGAGAAGCGGAGTTGATTTGACGTGATTCGGACGTCCGGTTGTAAAAATATAAGTTTTAAAGTTTTCTTAAAAATTTCATTTGATTTGGTATCTGATTCGTAGTTCTAGGTGTTATTTTGGCAATTTGATCGCGCGAGCAAGTTCGTATGATGTTTTAGGACTTGTGTGCATGTTTAGTTTGGAGCCCCGAGGGCTCGGATGAGTTTCGGATAGGCTACAGGTGTTTTGAAACTTTGAAAAAATCTGGTATTTCCAGTTCTGGTTTCCTTCTATGCGATAGCGTGACTGTGTCTGCGATCGCGAAGGCTTAATGGTCACAGATGAAATTTGTACTATACGATCGCATAGTGAGGTCCGCGATCGCACATTGACAGCAGGCAAAGCACCGCGAACGCGAGGGCCAAGCTGCGTTCGCGTAGAAGGAACGAGGGAAAAGTTGAAGCATAAAAATTGTACTACGTGATCGCACAAAGATGTCTGCGATCGCGGAAGGCTAAGAAATTGTGCTTCGCATTCGCGAGAGCATTGCCGCGTTCGCGTAGAGCAAAAAGCTGGGCAGCCAAAATATGCTTCGTGATCGCGAAAAATTGTACGCGATCGCATAAGGTAAAATTTTGGGCAAACAGAACTTAAGTTCTGGAAAATGGGATTCATCCAATTTTCAACTATTTTTCATTTTTGAGCTCGGGTAAGGCGATTCTTGGGCGATTTTTACGGAAAAATATTGGGGTAAGTGTTCCTTATCCTATATTGATTATATTTCATGATTCCATAATCATTTATATCATGAATCCATGAAATTTTGGGAGAAAAATCAGATTTTTATAAAATCTTCCAAAAACGAAAATTTAAGATTTGAAGGTCCATTTGACATCGGAATTTGATAATTTTTATATGGTTGGACTCGTCTCGGAATGGGTATTCGGATTTCGTAAGTTTTTCCGAGATTCGAGACGTGGGCCCCACTGTCAATTTTTAAAGTGAATTTCAAATTTTATCCGAAAAATTAGTAAATTCATATGGAATTAATTCTTATGATTCGTATTGAGTATATCTAATTGTTTGTGAATAGATTTGAAGCTTTTCGAGATAAATTTAAAAGGAAAAGCCGTGGTCGAGTAATTGTTTGAAATTGCAAAGCGAGATAAGTGTCGTGGTTAACCTTGACTTGAGGGAATAGAACCCTTAAATTATTTGTATGTGAAATGAATGTGAATGACGTATAGGCGAGGTGACGAGTATCTATACTTCGTCAAATTAATTGTTTGCATAATTATTTGAAAATCCTAAACTTGTTTTAATACACGAATTAATTATTATG